AGAAATATATAATTATTCGTGTGTAGAAATAGTGTTAACATTGGTTCTTTATTTTTTTTTTAAATTGTAACATCGGAAGCAGTAGTAAAATGTGTTTCCTTTGTGTGTTGAAACAGTAGTAACATATACTATTTTTACGGATGTGAAACACCCGCACAAACAATGATAACAGGGTCATATAGTAAGCGACTCGTAAGCCAGCATACCGCGATCGAAACCCACTGCAGGCTGCGTGGGTTTCAGTCGGGTTTTAGTCGTGGTATGGGACCTCGCAGGTCGACCCAGCCTAAAATGGGTACCAGGATGGGCTGTCCTGGGAAAGTAAAGACAGCCGGCTTAATGCTGACCACATTACCCACCGAGTGCTAATGGTCTGTTTAAATATGGGACGCTCTGCCCATATGCCCGATGCGCCGAAAGGCGTGAAAAGGGATCTTTACTTTACTTTACATACAGTAAGCACAAGCTGACGCATCTAAACAGGACGTATTTCAAGCTGAACGTAAACCAAAAGGAACGGATGTAGCATGGTTAGGACTATTTTCCTCCGTACAGTAGTTTGGCGTTCAATGCTCTGAAATCATGCATCCAACTTGTGGACTCACTCTTAGGGTTAAAATGTACGGCTATTTCGGAAATTCCTGTGGGTGGTCGCCGGAGCTACGGGCGTTTATAGGGAGACGCTATCTTAAGAGATACAACCTGATGAAATGAAATCTGTCTTCTCACTTTAAAAAAAAATCTCATGGTATTTGAATGGCGAATTACCGTAAGATGCTGCGTACGTCGTTGTTGTGCACAAGCCGAGCTCAACAACGTTAATCTGATTTAGGTCCATACCTTACTAGCTAATTGTAAAGCCGCCATATAAGTCATTGCTAGTTTTAGAAATATCTGTTAAGTGGGGTAATAATAAAAACATGGCATACACGAAACATGAAGGAAACATGTATGTAATATCAAGCGATAATAAACAAAACAGATAACGGTTATACTATTGCAGATACTCCGAAAGAGGCGGGATTTTTTGTTTTTTGTTGCAGAAATGACCTTGACTCAAAGTCGACCCAGCCTTAAACGGATATCCGGTAAAGTCATAGGAAGTAGAAGAGAGCGGCGTCATGCTGACCACATCCTCCACGGAGTGCTGACTGATTTATACAATTTAGGTCTCGTACTATATGGATCATTGGAGGGAGCAGACAAAAATGGAGGAGCTGGATCGGTCATCATGCTGCAAGATGGGACCACAGTAAAAACGTCATGCGCTTCCGGAAGACTCTCAACAAACTTCAGAGCAGAGCAGCAAGCAATTATTGATTCAGCCAAAGTGCTCAGGAAAAGAAAAATTAAAAACAGCACAATTGTTTTCCTTTGTGACTGCATGTCAATCCTCCAGGCGACTCATGGGGATCTACGAGACAACATGGAAAGAGAACTGACCCGTCAGCTAAACAGACTCACAGAAAACAATCAAATTGTTCTCCAGTGGATCCCGGCTCACTGCGGCATACCAGGAAATGAGTTAGCAGACAGACTTGCAAAAAATGGAACAAAATAGAAACAACACGCCCATTCATTGTCATTACCAGCAATCAGAACACTTATCAAAGGAAAATACAAGGGATTGTGGAGAGAACAAACTAACAGTAAACATCCACAAGACCCCATCAGCAGACTCAACAGAAAGTAACATACAACAATTTTCCGTCTACGAACAGGACACTGCAGGCTCTACTACCACATGCATAAAATAAAGATTGTACAGTCCCCGCAGTGTGCCTGTCAAACAGGACCCCAAACACCTTAGCACATTCTGCAGACCTGCTCACTCTACCTGCAACTTCGAAAAGACACCTGGCCTCAACAGCAAAGTGTGCAGAGCAAGCTATGGGGAACCATGCAGGACCTGCAGATGACATGCGAGTTCATAGAGGCAACCCACCTGATGGTCTTATCTGAGCATACGAAACCGAACGCAAAGAAGAAGAAGAAGAAGAAGAAGAAGAAGAAGAAGAAGAAGAAGAAGAAGAAGAAGAAGAAGAAGAAGGAGAAGAAGAAGAAGAAGAAGAAGTACTATATGCCCAATGCGCCTAAAGGCGGGAGAAAGTGTTCTTTACTTGTTATATGTAAACATTTCATCGCAGATCATGCCTTTTTAGTGTTCGCTGTTAAGCCTTCCTATATTCTAGGTCATGGCATATGAGTTAGGGTGACCACTTTTCCTTCCTCGTTGCTGGTTTTTCTCAGTTAATTCTCTTTAGTTCGCGTAACGATGTGGTTGTTACCCTGGGGTTATGATGGTCTGTACCATGTCTTCAGCGAGATATCAAAGTGCAGTCTGGATCAAGAGTTCTCATTTCGTTAAGACATGTGGAAGCCTTCTTAATTTCAAAGATCTGCCAAAGACCCTATGCTCTAATACTTTCTTACTGAAGAACCTGTTATAATGTAAACATTTTAGAATAGTAGAAATGTATTTTATTTACTTTAGGTTTTTTATTTTACAAACGCGGTCACTGACCCTTTAACTCTTTCATCAATCCCACAATCTCCCGGCTAATGTCCAAGGGAGGTAAGAATGGCAGTATTGAACTCATGGATATACTACTTCCACAGGGACTAAATATACAACCCTCACAGGGAAGAAATGTGTTGTCAAAGGTCTTCAGAGTCGCCTCTTAACGTGAGATGTAAAAACATACACCATATGTTGTCTAGCACGAATAATATCCAGTCATACACAGCGCCTTGTTTGGGGCAGAATGAATTAAAAAGTATAGACTGGTTAAGTTAGTTGAATATCATTTGCAGGACTTTGCAGAACAAACGTTAATATGTTTTTCTATGCAAATTTACGTTCAGTAGTTTGCCACTGCTTTATGAACGTTCAGCTCTCGGTGCCACTGTCGAAACCAATGGAAGACAACCCATCCGCAGCTTGGCATTACGCCTCGAGTGTTGGATGTCCCGGGTCCAAACCCCAGTAAAGGCTGTGAATTTTTCACGTCGACATCTGGTAAGTTCCACTTGTCTCTTGTTAGTAATTAAGATCGGACGCCCAAGTTTAATGTTGAGCAAGTAAGAAAATCCCTTGGCAGTTGGAAATCGAAAAGAGTTGTCTAACGGTGATGCCCGGGCAACATTTTGCGTTTAAAATTTACGTTAAGTATTTCAGGATCCTCGCCGGTGCTAAGGACTTCGTGCACTGCACTGAAAATTTTCGGACTAAGACTTGAGTTAGAAGTTAAACAGAGCACTTCTTAGTTACTACTCTCGTGCCATGATGTTGTTCCGTTATATAAAATAAATCAAACCAGATTTTTAAAAAAAAGAACATTCATGTAATGTAGTATGTCATACATTAGGCGATACCCCTATAGGGGCGGTGAAATGATCCAGAGGGCAGTAGTGACACCATTACAATTTAGGAACTTTATATAAAACTCAAGGTGAAAAAAGGCGGGTGGGAGGGAGGGCTGATTCACAATAGCATAATAAGTTCATTTTTCTCGTGAAGATAGCTAGTTGTACATAGTCAGATCAAAATGACTGTCCATAGGATTAACACCTCGAGGATAATGATCACACAGGAGAAACTCTCAAAAACTCAGTTCAGCCACATAAAAAACTGCTAATTACTGCCTTTATTTCAGCGATTTTGCTGTGTAGGCGCGGGAGAGGCGAGGGTGGGTCCTTTGAGACTGAGGATCTACGGCTGCATTCAGCCAGATCATCATCATTATTATCCCGTAACACTACGTGTCGTTGGGCTACCAGTGTCTGTTGAATGTCTGATCAGCTCTCTCCACCTTTGGCGGTCATTTGCGATGCACTTCATGGCTGCGTTCCTGATACCTGTCCAGTCATTCAGGTTCTGTAACCAGGACTTTCTTGGTCTGCCTCTCCTCCTCTTTCCCCTCTACTGAGCCCTCGGTATTGTTTTTTAGAGGCCATTAGATCTTTTTACATGTCCATACCATTGGATTTTTTCTCCTTTTCACTGTAGTTAAAAGAGGTTCATAGTTGCCAGTATACAGCCACATAATACAGTTATATCTAAACACCTTTTTGATACGATGTAGGAGGCACTTTGCTAGGTGATATAATAGTCATGTTCAACCAGCATCCCCGAAGTGGGGCGCTTTGGGTTATAATTGTGACTAAGTTATGTGCGCCATATAAAATGGCTCCGCATTGCACGCCATCAAGAGCCATGAAGAGGACTCCTGCGGTGTTGACGAGAGCAAAGGAGACAGACCCAAGCACTGTCCCGACGAGTCTTCTAACGGCGAGTCAGTGAGCGACCGGGTCACCGATGTGTGGGATACGATGTAACCTGCAGGGATGAGATGTAACTGTTCTTTGTGCTCTTCCTCTGTATTTTCAACGGTAACCTTTTTTTTTTAATCAAAAATTTTAAATTAACTACAAATCTTTTTTTTTTTCCTCTTCGCGTTCACCAGCTGTAAACTCTGGCGGAAAGTTCTGGTTGTTCATCCACTTCTGGACTGCAGACCTGTTCCAGAACCTGAAATGTGCGTGCACATCCGTTTTACATATCTGACTTATTTGTATGCAGACTGCTGGTTCCTTGCCTTGCAGGCAGATGCACTCCGACTTCCAAGGAAGCTTCCAATTAGTCGACTCTTACGACACGCTTTTGGATAGGCAGTGGGTCTATTCTTGTTCTTAACTTCTCAAGTACAAATGAATTTCGGGCCATCTTTTGAGAAAGGGTGTTGGGTGGGGGGGGGGGGGGGGGGGGGTGATTACCATTACACTCAAGTCTTTCTTGCAACAGGGAAATAAAAAGTATGTAAAAGAATACAAATGTGTGGCTTCACCTCCTTGTTTGTTTGCTTGGAGAAATCAGATTTTCTGAATGACTTATGTAATAATTATTATCTTAGGAAAGGGGCGGTAATCCAAATATGCTTGATAACAATACATTTAGTGGTACCAGAGTTATCCAAAAATTACCCAGGTTAACAGTTATATTAAGCTGTGATAAATTTTTGTTCCAGTTGTTTAGCAATCTGTTTCTTCTTGACACATCGTAGAGTGCGAATGAGCTCTCTCACATTGCCATGTCTGTGAAACGCCCGCCACTTGTCCAAACTTTTCAAAGCCTGATCATTCCAGGTGACGTCATTGCGAGCTGCGATATTGTCCAGAACTTCCGCGTCACGGTGTCGCTTTTGGACGTCTCGAGGAGGGTCAAAGGGCAGGTTGAAGTAAACTTGCTGCCAGTCCTTACCAATGTACGGTGCCGCAAGTTTGCAAGCATCCGTTAATTCCTGGACTCCGCCTGTAAACATAACAAGTGGGTTAGTAAAGTATGGATTTGCACACATTTCAAACACAAATAGTAGATAAAAAAACCAACCAGCTAACTGTCCAGCTAAGTAGCCGACAATCTTATGTCATAAGTCGTCCCATGTGGGATGCAATTTTTCATTTTATGAAGCTCCACCCTGGCTTTAGCTGGGAGCTCTGAATATAGCCGGGCCATGAATATAGCCTAACGGCTGAAAGAGGTTTCTGGGACCTCTGCACGGGTGATCCTCATCCGCATGGTGGCACTTTATGTCACCGGGTGTTTATCGCTTGTGTGATGTCCTGGTGGGCTACAACTTACTTACACACATACATGCCGACAATCAGCAACTAACTTACTAACCTGCCAACTAACCAGATAAGTTCTTCTCCTTCTTCTTTTCCTGTTTCTTCTTCTTCTTCTTCTTCTTCTTCTTCTTCTTCTTCTTCTTCTTCTTCTTCTTCTTCTTCTTCTTCTTCTTCTGCTGCTTCTGCTGCTGCTGCTGCTGCTGCTACTGCTGCTTCTGCTGCTGCTGCCTTAAATCCCCAGTGGAGCATAGTCCTCCAGTCAACTCACGCCATGCAATCCTATCCTTGGCTGTTGTATGAAACCCACCCAACGCCCTCTCATCGTGTTTAACTTCACTCTCTAGCTTCCTTCTTCAAATGTTTGTGGTCTGCCTTTATTGCTATACCCTGTGTTTTCAATTATACAGACTTCTAGTTATATTTTTCTCCTGTTTTCTCAACGTGTATCCTTGCCAACGCCAGCGTCTGCTCTTAACCTCTTTGTCCACTATAACTTAGTTTATTCATCTTCCAAAGCTCAACTATAGTGATTTTATCATAAAGTTAAATTCACTCTATTCTGCACAGGCACTAGATAATGAATGTTTGTTGTTTATTAGTGGTTGTTTGTGTTTTTGTCCATATTTCTGCCCCATACCACTATTGATTTGACACTACTGTATAATTAAACATTTTAAGTATAGTGTTAGTTTTCATTTCTTTTGTGTTCCAATTTTAATATCTCTATCAGTCACTTCTCTGACAAAGATATTAAAATACAAACACAAAAGGTAAGAGGAGCTTCCGTAGCACTAAAAAATTTGTGGAGGTCAAAAGAAAATGTAACTAATACTAAATTTAAAATATGTTTAATTCTAATGATAAGTAGATTAGATCATTAACGAATTAAAACAAAACAGCAGATAACCAACATGCAAACAGACAAGCTTCTATTACTACCACTACTATCATTACTAACACTACTACTACTGCTGCTGCTGCTGCTGCTGCTGCTTCTAACTACTAATGTTGGCTGTTTCGGATGCTTCATTAATATCCTACCCCAAGCAGGGGAAATCCACAGGTCATGGGACAGTCTAATATTTCAGGGGGCAGTAGATAGGATGCATGCAGTCGTGGGACCTAGGCTGCATGTAGTCGTGGGACCTAGGCTGCACTTTTTTGGTTGTGGTTAGGGCCAGTTTTGGGGTCTTTAAAAGCATCAGAAACCTAGGAAAACAGTGCTACCATCCTATAGAATGTTGGGCTGTCCTGTGACGTCATCTGAGGTAAGATTTTTTAAAGACCCTGTTTCGCAAGACCCCCCCCCCCCCCCCCCCCCTTCTCTCTCTTTCCCCGCAGCCAATGTTTTTAAATAATTGCACATCGCGTCATGAGAGTTGCTTAGTTCGTAATGTGAAAACATTTAATCACGAAGCAAGGTCATTGTGGAGGGACATATGGAAGACCCTATACTTTTATAGTTTATACTGTAACTATTATTATATCAAACGCACTGTATCAGTTGAAGACATACCAGAGATAGATTCTTTCTGTTTCTGCTGGTCTTTGATGTACTTCGGCAGCAAGCCTGGCGTCAGTTTCATCTCCCTGATTCTTATCAGAACTTGGTTGTTGGCGTCAATGATTGCGATCCTTTCGTTGATCGACTGTATTTCCAGTTCTAGTTTCTTGTTCTCCTTCACCATTTCTTCCTTCAGATGTCTGCAAGTAACAGCCTCAACCTTGGAGGCGACAAGATTCTAGTAAATATTCAATTAAATTGTGATTTAATTTGGGTAAGTTACAATTACGGATGTGAGTCGTGAACTGTCTTCCAGTCCTTAAAAAAAGAATAGGGGCTTTTGAGCTGAAATGCTGTAGACAAATTCTCAGAATATCTTGGACAAAGAAGAGGAAAAATAATGACACCTTGAAAGCTCTGAACATCAAGGAAGATTGGTTAATAAACAGCATCCTGTCTCGGAAGCTGAAATATTTTGGTCATATCAAGCGCCACGATAGATTGGGAAAAATTATAGCAGAAGGCATGGTACCAGGAAGGAGGGGCAGGGGCCGACCGACACGAAGATGGGCATAGGATATAAGTGACTCCTTAAGTAGGAAAATACATGAGGCGGGAGAGCTGTCGAGAGATCAAGTTTCTTTCAAGCCAACAGTGATGAAACGTTCTGCAAAGGACCTGCTACATGATGATGATGAAGTTACATTTCACGAAGAGAACTAGTGCCCCAATCACAAGGAGCCTAAATTCAGCTTCTTTTGTCAGGCTAGGAGAAGGATAAAACTGGATTACATCGTGGCGATCATAAAGTTGGAGGGGAGAAGACATTGAGGGAGATTGAGAGAAAAGATGCTACACCGTTTGACATCGTGGCATGGAAAATCATCTGGGTCAGAACTCATTGAAAGTACACGAAGAAAAAGATCTTGTTGTAGAGTTTACGGGCAGAACGGTTTACATTTATGGCTTATTTGTGTGAAGATTCCTGGCCTTTCAGGCTGATGCACTTCGACTTCAAAGGGAACACCTCTAATTAGTCGCCTTTTACGACATGTATGCTAGGGGGCAGTGGGTCTACTCGTTATCCACTTCGAATGACAACTAGATAACATACACATGAGGACAGCACTAAATTACCAAAACAGTTTAAGTCCTGTTACTAACACAATAGTGTACCTATGATATGGCAGGTAGGGCTGATGCGTTGGGCACCACTTGAAGGAGGGCGTCATTTTTTTTTTCTAACGTAGCAGCGTTTCATTCGGAGGGACTACAATGAGTTTCATTTTTGTTTAAGAAGGTTAGAAGTGCCTCACCATACAAAAATATAAACACTCAACTCTGATCAGCACCGCTTTCATTGATTTAAAAAAAATCATTTTAATGTTGAATTTCGTTGTGTGGCCGAAGTTATAATTTCTGTAACAGTTAATATTTCTGAACACAACAAAATATAATTTTTGGAGTATATCTACTATTACAGTCATTTGATTTATTATTATTATTTTTTTTAATATACTATCGGCTTGTACACAACTATTTTATTTATTTATTTAAAGAAAGATGATAAACTGAACCCTCCCCCCCCCCCCCCCCCCAAAAAAAAAAAAGTGGAGCTGACGGGTGAAAGAAGCGAAGGATATATTCAGAGAAAATCTAAATTTCAGCCAAGTTTTTCGTGCCTTCTTTGAAATACCTGTCTGAAGTAGTTTGACGGTTTCCATTGCAACACCTAATTCTGCTCAATTTGCTTAAGCTAGATCTAGGACAACTGTGTCGAAAATGAAGCAAATTCAGACAAATCATCAGCTGAAGGGGAGACAAAACTCTGTAGGACAAGGCTAATGGTGAGGGTGCTAGTAAAAATCTTGATTGGACAATAAGAGAAGAGAGGGGAGTACAGCGAAATATTGATAATATTGAATAGGTTAGTTGCGTATCCTTTACAGGACGTCGCAGAATCAACCCCAACAGCCCCTGGCTGTTGTGTGGTTTTTCTAGGTAATTTACGTCCTGTAGTTCGCCATTGCTTTCTGAAGGTCGGCTTTCTTGATACAACTGTCGAAACCAACGCAAGGTCCATGGCCCGCAGCTGTGATCGAACCCGGCATCCCGGCATGACGAAATGTTCCCATCGACTTAGCCACAGAGCCGACAATATTAAATATACTAACCAAAATGTCTCATAAGATTGAAAATGAACACGCTGAACACAGATGTCATCCTCGACAAAGAGTCTGCAGTTGCGACACCAGAAGTGATTCAACAGCATGACATTGGTCTTCTTAACTTTGACAAGCATTTCTGTCTCATGCATTAAGAACAAAACTTGTAAAGTTTGGTTCCAAGAATTTTCAAAGCAGTAAGGGGTTCTTGCCCAGGAACAAACAACCGTTCAATGACAAAACAACTGTGCATGAACAAAACTTAGTTCAAGATAAAGTGAGGAAAGGAAACTTTGAGGAAGTGATTTGGTCATGGTTGGCTTATACTCCCCTCTTCGAAAACATTTTGCATCAGTTGTCTTATTTATTCTAAATCAGATGATCAATCCTCTCTGAGGCAAGAAAATTGATTCAGCCAGCGGAAAGCACCTGAAAAGTTTAGTGTTCATGAAAATGCCAAGAACCGCAGGATACTAGCAGAAAGAAAGGGAGACACATTTAGTTGCAAACAGAGTTACTGATAGGGAACTTCAACCGCAGACTGTAAGGGAAAAAAATAGAAGCGGAGCGATATCCTGACAAAAGTACTCCACTGCAAAACATTCCAACTGAAAATCGATCTTTACATGAATACATAGAATCACTTCAGCAAGACGATCATGGTTCCAATTAGGAAAATTTTCTTGGATTATGAAACCACTGGCTGTTTTTGTCCCTCTCATAAAAGAACACTTAGTATTTCAAAGACCATGCCGGATGCACGTCGTATCTCTCTCCTTTTGTGCAGCAGGAATTCCACCACTTGATGGCATCCACTAATCGTCAGAATTTACTAAGAAGTATTTGTAGAGCCAAGCACAATGGTGTCATGTTTGACTCGAGTCCTCATCAAGAACCCCGTGAGCAGATATCAAAGATAGTGAGTTACGTGAAAGCTGATTTTGAGAAGATATCTGTCTGTATTGAGTCTTGCCCTGTTTTTATCCAGATATGTCGAAATGATGCTAAGAGCTTTGTTCGAAACATCTTGTGCCAGCAAGAGAAAGATAAAACTGTATACACCCAGAAAATTTTCTTCCGGCTATCCTCCGAATAACTGTCCCAAATTATCCAGGCTAAAATACCTTAACAGGGCCTCAGTCATATGTAAATTGCGGACTTCTTTCAGGCGACTACACCGCTTACCGCGGAAAAAGCTTCCGCCGAGTTATCATCGCCGATTTTTTCCCCCGCGCCGCTACGCACGGTGCGGAGGGGGGCTAAACTAGATGGCCGCGACTCACGAGCAGCAGCTACTGCATCTCCTTCAGCTTTCTCCATTGCATTTGCTCATGAGTCCCAGCCATCTAGTATATCCTACCCTCCGTGCCGCACATAGTGGCGCGGTGGATACTCTCGGCAGTGGCGGTATATTCGCCGGAAAGCAGTCCGTAATTTACATGCGACTGAGACCCTGTAGGGTATATTACCGACCTCGATAATTTGGGACCGTTATTCGGAGGAAAGACTTTCTATCTTTCGAATTTTACTTGCATAGACAATAAACATGCTTCTTAACTATGCCCTATCAAGTTCAAGTTAGTTGCTTATCCTTTACAGGACGTTGCAGAACTAACACCACCATCCCCTGGCTGTTGTGTGGTTTCACTAGGCACATTTTCGTCCAGTAGTTTGCCATTGCTTCCTGGACGGTCGGCTCCCTGATACCACTCGAAACTAACGCAAGGCATATGGCCCTCAGCTGGGATCGAACCCGGTACCCCGGTATTACGAAGCGTTCGCATCGATTTAGCCACAGAGCCGACAACTATTCCCTATAAGGAGTTTAAACGTAACTCGCAAACAGAACAATGACAGACAAATTACACAGATGTTCTGACCTCTATCATTGCCGCCAAATACCCTAGGTACGTGCTTGTACTAATTGTTCAAGCTCACCTTCTGCTCGTATGCCCTATCGGTGGCTCGTCTAAGAAGCACATCAACCTTCTTTAGTTGCTCATCCATCTTCATCTTCTCCAGGTCCAGTTTGTCGATGTCAGTTTCCAGCATCTCTAGCTTCTCCAAGTTACTTGAAGACTCTCTTGGAGACTTGATGCTCCTCTCAGCTAGAGCCCTCTTGAGTTTGTCCCGTTCTTGTCTGTGTTTAGTAGAATAGTCATTAAATTACGGTATCGTTTATTGGCTACTAGGTAGACATTTTTGTGAGCCATGAAACTTTATAAATAAATTAAATAAACATAGGGGGGGGGGGGGGGAACCATTTGAGGCCGTTAAATATTATGAATTAATCAAGTAACAGAAAGTATTGTGAACGGCACTCATAGAAAGAAGTAGAAAGATAGATGAACACACTTGACAACATAAAAATCGAAAGCTATAGTTACCGTGCCGGGAATTGAACCTGTCACCTTCAGACGGCGTCTGCGCCTCGCCATGAATACAAGTGCACTAAGATACATGGTCAACTAGGCACCCCTAAAAAAAGGTGTCTCATTGGCCATGTCTAGTTCATCTATCTTTCTACTTCTTTCTATGAGTGCCGTTCACAATACTTTCTGTTACTTGATTAATTCTTAAATAAATTAAGTTTGTCTGCATTTTAAAATGTTTTTCCCCTCCTTTGGTAAATGACTTGTACAGAGTGGCATAACACGGCGTCTTCTCTAAGTAGGCAAACCACATTTATTTAAAGAGGGATTTGAGGTTTGAACAACGGAGTAACATCATGCATGGCACACGGGTGGTAACCCATAGGTGCTCCGTTCTTCTTCTAACTCAAGTCTGAGTCCGAAGAAGCTCAGCCCAGGGCACAAGCTCTGTAGCACCGGTGTAGATCCTGAAACACTTTGGGTAGATTTTTAACTCCAAATTTTGCCCGGGCAGCGCCGTTAGCTTACTCTTTACGATTTCCAAGGGATTTTTTACGTGCGCAACAATGCACACGGGCGTCCTATCTCACTACCCAGAGACGACAGGAAATAACTAGAAGCACAAGTCCACGTGAAGAAAATCTCAGTCCGTACCGGGGATTGAACCAGGAACCTTTAGCACTCGAGGCGACAAAATGCTGGAGACCACGCAGAGAGATTTGAGAAACACGCCTCTGTTACGCCCGTCTCTTGGCTATTTATAGTTTTTCTTCTTCGTTTATTTCTCCTTACTAGCGGTTTACAGATCACATCGGTGACCTAGTCGCCCATTGGCTCGCCAGTAGAACTGTCAAAGTATCGTATCTCCATACTTTGTCTTAGTCTTAATTGAGGTTTCAACTTCTCTGCAATCGGGTTTCCCCATGCCTGCTCCGTTCATGTGTCAGGGGAAATCAAATGACATGTCTATTTATCTATCTTCTTTTACCCTACCAGGACATCACACAAGCGATAAACATCCGATGACACAAAGTGCCATCATGTGGATGAGGATCACCCGTGGAGAGGTACTAGAAACCGCGTTTAGCCATTAGACCATATTTATGGCCAGGCTATTTTGCGGCCCCTGGCAAAAGCCAGAGCAGGGCTTCAAACAAAGAAAAATTGCATTGCACAAGGAGGTGATGAATATTACTAATTTCCCTCACTGTTGCATTTGTAAAACTAGTCAACAAACAATTAGTCATGGAACAATCCAGAAATATGCACACGCAATAAATGCTTATGAAAGTTGCTAGAGGCGCTAAAGCCAACGGCCGCCACCAGAAATGCAGTTTGTCGTTGATGGGAGTAGTCTACACATTTACAGTGACTATATAGCTTTATCACTGATCGAAAAACATAATTAGCTCCAGTTAAGCAGAATGCGTAGACCAGCCTGAGCAAGCGTGAATGAAAGGTGAACCAGTGTATTTATGGGACCTAAAAACGTAAATAGGACCTTAAAAATTAAGAAAGGCATACATGTATGGAGACAAAAAACGGTGAAATAAATAACAGTATCAAAGCAATTTTGCAATAAGCTACTAAAGAAAGTTTGAAAGAGAATGGCAACGATTCCAGGTTTACCATTTTGGCTGCGAATCTCAGGCAATAAATCACACGTCTGGGAATAGCTGGGTGTTTGTAGGAGAGATTCTTCCACTAGAAAATGAAAGGGGAAGAAGGAGGAGGAATAAGTTGAAGAAGAAGAAGAGGAGGGTGAGAAAGAAGTGCAGGAAGAGAAGAAAAATTTGACTAAAATTATAAATATTCTTTAAAATTATTATTTTATATATTCAAGACAATAATGATATACCTCATCATTTGTGCCTTCTCGGCCAAAATCTCCCTCCTGTTCTCAAGTTCTAGTTTTCTGGCTTTCGTCTTGTTTTTCTCCTTCCGGTGTTCCATGTAATCATTTTCAGCTTTGAACTCTGATTTCCTCAGTTTCTGTACCTCCTGCATGTTATTCATTCGTTTATCTTCAATCTGGTAACATAAAGTATAAAAACATATATCGAGTAAACAAATCGTAGCTATATCATTGGCACCTTCCCGTCTTTCCAGACGAAAGTGTTATATTGCTCTATGAGGAGTAATGAGACTCACCGATCATGGCGATGGCGAGTGTGACTAGCAAGACCCGCCCGTGTCAAGAAAAGTCTTCCACAATGATAGCATGGGATTTCAGGACCCTATAGCCAGTATTTTATATAAAGAGTTGTCTAAACTTACTCATGATGTGGTGAAAAGGTGTTTTAGAAGTACACAGGGGGAGGGGGGGAGGGGAATGTTGAATGTTGAATAAGAAATAGACATCACAGCACTCGAAACACCCCATAAACGCTTCGTTCCCATCATCAGCAGCAAACCAATTGTTCTAATTCTAAAGTCCAAGTCCAAGTCCTTTTGAAAAAAAAAAAAAAAAGAAAAGCTCGACCACGTTCAGACTGTTGCTAGCTAGCCTAGGCTGCTAGCAGTCTCCGCCTATATTTGTGGTCTGGGTTATTTGCGTCACTTTCGTGAATGAATTTTAGTGTTTGTGCCATTTCTGGGCTTGATGCTTCCATCCGAATCAAACCGCTCGTCCTGTTGTCACTGGTGCATGTCTTCCTTCTTCTTTCTTGGTGTTTCCTGTTTGTTCTGTCTCCCTTTCATCTGGCTAGGCGTATCTCGAAGGAGAGCGAGCTTCCATACACAACGTCCTTTGGACCACCATTTATTGTTTTAAAATTTTGAGTATTTAAATTATGCCAAAAAGTACTGAAAACAGTTTTTGAATTTGAATAGTTCCGAAATGTGAAAATGTTCCGCGTGTGACCATAGTGGTCTTATAATTGTCTTCCTGTAATATGAACGGGTTAGTCATGTAATGGATATGTATGTGAGAGTTTATGTGTAGACTTAAACGGGTCCAGTTGTCATCTGTTATTATGTGGTCCGGTTGTGTTGACAGCTAAGCTCCGGTGTACGTAAATACCATATAACCGGAGCATCCAGCTCACTCTTTGAGATCCAAATGTTCGGCGATGAGAATTGCTGTGGCATGTTGGGTAACGAACTCAAGTGCTCTCTGTGGGAATGGGTTGGGGGGTTAAACTCATAGTGCATCCGAAAGTTAGGGAAGGGTAAGGGGAAAGGGGGCGGGAGGCCATTCAGTCATTTCTCGTCGTTGCCGTTTTGCTGGATTCTAGCGTGGCCTTTTGCCGGGACTATGTGTATCAAGTTACCAACCTTTGCTATCATCACAGTGATGGGGTGGTATTGGTGGTTATGTGTTCTAGTTCTGTCATTATTGAGTCACTTGTTTTCCCTATTTGCTGTCAGTCGTATCTTGTTGTGAGTCCTGTCGGTCATGTGCATGTTGTATGCATGCTGTTGAATGGTATGGTTTTGTGTATGAATCCCCGGAATACATGGATGCACCCAACTAGGTGCATGCGTACATGCACTCGAGTACTCATACACGTAGACAACACTACATATTTGCACGTCCTTTCATACTTATCCATGTATGCATACCTAATTGACATTACGTACACACGCAAACTCTTTTATATGCGAGCACATCCACACTTAGTGACATTCACTCTTCCATGTCTTGTGCGTTTTGTGTCGCTATGTCTGTAGTATCGTCTGGTCGTGTCACTTTTAAGTTATGTCTCGTTACTTGTATGTGACCTGCCCGGTACTGTCTTACCATGTTTTGGTGGATGGTGTGTGTTGGTGACCTTCTTGCTGCGTACACACCTCATTACATGTTCTCATTAATTAACAGACATGCAGCAACACAATTTATGGGTTCTTTGAGTGCACTGTCATTCATACACACACAAATATCACGCTCCCATATATATTCACACATGCACACTCATACCCACATATACATGCATACAGTAATACATTTTTATAACCATGTACTCATTCATCTGTACCTTTCGCCCAGCTATATTCCCACTGTCCTATCCATACGTGATCCCTTACCATCCATCTACATACACTGTGTCTTCTGTATCCATAAATGCACTCATACTACACGCACTCATCCTTGTGTATGTATGGCGCCAGTAACTGATTGTATATCCGTCTCGCCCTTCCCTTGAATGTTAAGCTTCCGCCAGATCCCCTGATAACTCCTTGCTGCGCCATTATCCTCAGACCGTAATGATCTATTTGCGCCTCTGCACTTTTCACTCGCTCACAGAGGACCCTCATAACGTGTAGCTTGTCATACATCAGTTCACCACCAAGTGGTGCAGAACCGGTCAGTTTATCTGCCTGCTCATTTCCCACAAAACTGGCATATCTGGAGAAAATATCCAAAGGATACCAACTACCTTGAAATTATGAAGTGATGTTTGTTGCTCTGCACGGGGCATACATGTCTCCACCTTTCTCAACATGCTCTGTGAGTCAGTGACAATCACGACATGTGTGTACAGCTGTTGCTCAAGCTAAAGGAAGGCGCAGTGATTTGGCGGGTGGGGGGGGGGGGGGGGGGGGGGGGGGCTTTGGAGATGGAATCCAGGGGCGCATAAGACATAAGCCTTGTTTACGTTTACTATAATATAATAATGTGCCAAATGACAAGAAATATCATATATTCAAAATAATATGTTATGTATTTTGATCAATCAATCAGCAAATTCTTTACAGAACGTCGCTCTCTTCATGGCACGCCTAAAAGTATCCCTTTCACTAGATAATTCTCCAACCGAGTGTGCTTTCAATGCCAATTTATCTTCAATGTCTTGTATCCACATTGGCGGAAGTCGGCTTCTGTCTCGTTTTCCGCAAACTGCACCTTCCATCACCGTACTCTCCAGACCACCATGGCGCTTGATATGTCCACAATACCTCAGCTTACAGGAGAGGATGCTATTTACCAGCCAGTTCTCCTTGATTTTCAGGTCATGCAGGATGTCGACTTTTTTTTTTTTCTTGATCTGCGATATTCTAAGATTATTTTTTTTTTGGGGGGGGGGGGGAGGGTAGTATTTCAGTTCAAAGGCACTTGTGGATTGGCACCTGAGACAACAGATCTTGTCCTCCAAGACTGTCCCAAATACAAAATATCAAGGCAAAATTTTGGCCAAGAGAAACATGGGTGTAAGTCAACTTTACAGGTCGCTGAGTGAATTACAAAAGACAGTGTTCAAGCTCATTCTAGAGGCAACATTGCAGATATAGATAATTTATTTCAAGTGAACGAAAGAAGAAGGAGAAGTTCAAAAGCTCTGATTTTCTTCTTCTTCACACACACACACACACACACACACACACACTCACACACACATACACACACACTCACACACACACACACACACACACACTTACACACACACAAGTTGATGCATGATCTGAAATTGTTTTTTCTTTTACTTGCTTACAAGTAGTATGCTTTTGGTTCTTCATGTTGTTTAGCCTCTGCTGTGTTGAAGCAATCTTTTTCTGACTTCTGATGTACAGTTGCTGTTGTTGTTTATTACTGAGCTTAAATATTCAAAATCTGTGACATTTTCAATCTCTTGGTTGTTAATTTTGGTACAAGGTTAGTGTCCTGTATTCTTTATGGTCATTATTTTAGTGGGGCTGCATTTCTCACTTTCTTCACATGGTTTTGTATATTGTGTTGTGATTTTTTTTTTTAATGCTGTATTTTTCTATTTTCTTCCATTACCCTAAGCATTTTCTCAGTAATTGTATTTATGTTTCCAGGAATGATATTTTGTGCTATTGAAAAAAAGTATGACCCTTGCCTGATTGGCTAGTTCATCAAGTGACTGATATGTGCATAGAAAGTTTTAAAAAGAAAACTTTTACACATGGTTGGGGGAAGATAGAGGGTAGCAGTAGTGGGGTAGCGTAATACGGGTATTATTTGGCCTAAGACGCCTTCTTTATTCTTTGTGAAAGATAGCGGCCAAATCAGCTTGGTCTGTTCTGGCGGCTTTATATATCCTTAGTAAATATCGATCGGGCGGCTGATGACGGCACGCGTGCTTGGTTTAGGGAAAGGTATAGGAAATCGATACTTTGTAGATGCATTATTATCTTCATAACTGCAGGTGACAGGTGGCGTTATATAAATGGTGAGGTCAGGAACACTATTTAGGTGAGCAGCGGGGGGCAGGTAGGGCAGGGGACCCGGGGCGACAGGGCGACTAATAGAGTTGGTGCGGGTTTATGTGGGTGTCTGCATATGTGATTGTATGAGGGGAGCCGTTTGAGACTTGCGATAAAGAAAACCTAGGAAGGCGACGTGGTGACCGGGGATATATTAGAAAGGGCGGTTCGAGAGCCATCATCATCATCTGTATCATGGGATCGAAGGTCGATCGCTCAGGAATGGTTTGAACTGTAGTAAAAAGGACGACAGAATGCTGGGTGTCTGGTAATACTGTTGAGGGTCGAAGAGAAGAGGCTAGAAAGGGCGACTCGAGCGCCATCATCATCATCTGTGTCATGGTATTGAAGGGATGGTTTGAGCGGCCAGATGTTGGCTAAAGTGGCGGATGATTCATTCCTCCACACAGTCTTAGGGATTAGTGATTTTTTCAGGTTGCAGAGGGCGCGGTTCTCTTATGGTGGGAAGTAATGGGTACCCTGAATGTATAATATTTGAAGGTTCTGATTTGGTCAGCTGGGGTTTAGTAGTCAATTCTGATTGGTCAGTATTCCCGGAGGGGAAAGGATGGCTATTACAGGCGGTAGGGCAGGGGACCCGGGGAGCTACTTTGTCTCCATAGCAACTGGTTATTCATTGTCGGTATGTTGGGGTGTGGGTATTTTTAGGCAGACTGGTTTAAGGAAGACAAATATTTCTTTAGTGCAGGGCCAGCTGTTGGTTAAAGTGGCGGATGACCGGGGATATATTAGAAAGGGCGACTCGAGCGTCATCATCATCATCTGTGTCATGGTATTGAAGGGATGGTTTGAGCTGTAGTAAAAAGGAGGACATACGACAGAAGGGTAGCTGTCTTGTCATAGTGTTGAGGGCAGAAGAGAAGGGGCTTACCTGACATCGGTGAGCAGCGGGGCGGGCGGGGCAAGGGACACGGGGCGACAGGGCGACTAAAACGGTTGGTGTTGGTTTATGGGTTCTGTAATAGACAAAAAAAATTAGAAGTGGGTTGTTAGCGGGAGATATATATGTTATAAAACGAAACAAGTTATGGGATATGAAAATAGACATAGGCAGCAGTGACAGCCGGCAGAGGGGAGAACTGACTTGACAATACCAGTTAAAACAAAAGACATGCTCTGTCTCTTGCGTGCTTTGTGGTGTCCCGTAGAGAAAACCATCGAATGATTTGCTGTGTCAGAAGGACAGTTAGCTACTTAATAGGAACCTTAGGTGACGACTTGCCAAGACCAGTGAAAGATATGCTCTTTCTCTTCCATGGCTTACGGTGTCCTATGAAGAAAAACATCGGGTGACTTTTGTGCGCCAAGGATAGTGATCGGGTTACCCGGCGTCTTCTGTTATCGCCTTGTGAAGACCCGTGAAAGACATGCGATGTCTCGTGCGTCCTTTACGTTGTTCGTCGAGAAAGATATAGCGCCTTTTTGGTACCCAAAATCTCCCCAGCTCCCCTTTGCCCCAAGGATAGTGCTCGGGTTATCTGGCGTCTTCAGTTATTGCCTTGTAAAGACCAGTGAAAGACATGTAACGTCTCGTGTGTGTGGTTTACGCTGTCTGTCGAGAAAGACATACCGCCCTTTTGGCACCTAAAATTGCCCCAGCCCACCTTCGTCGCCTGGTAGCGCCGCCTCTGACCTACAACGTAAACCTTTTATAAGCGGTGATATCTAACAATATGACACATAGTTCTCCTTTTTTTTAAACTACAGCTCAACCATATATGTACGGCCAGAGCCCGACACTTTGCCAAACCTGTCGTCCTTTTGCTATTTTTCCCACTACAATTTAAACTACGGATGAGTGGCCGGCCTCCCATAATATGTTACAAAAGTCGCCCTTCTGTTAACGTTTTCGTTTTTACTGCAACTAAACCCTCCCTAATCTATCAATATCTAACACTATGATAAGACACACGCCAAATGTCGTATGTTTTCCTTTTTACTACAGCTTAAACTATTTCTGCGCAGTCGACCTTCGCTCCCATGACACAGATGATGATGATGACGCTCAAGTCGCCCTTTAGTATATATCCCCGGTCATCAAACCACCTTTCTAGGTTTCTTTACCTAAACCCTAAAACGCCCCCCTCCCCCTCTGCCGGCTGTCACTGCTGCCTATGTCTATTTTCATATCCCATAACTTGTTTCGTTTTATAACATATATATCTCCCGCTAACAACCCCACTACTGGTAGCGTAACCATTTTATAAATTTGCGTCACCGATAACTTAAATTAATAAACAAAAATTATTTTTTGGGTGGAAAGGGGGGGGGGGGGGGTTCTTAAAAGGTTCCTAGGTTTTAAAATCCGCTGCCGCTGCCCCCCCCCCCCAATCGATATATTACTAGATATTACCAGTTAACGTACGTTTGATCAAATTAGGTGAAGCGTAAAGGCAGAAGAATTTACAATAATGATTCAGATACAAAGAAATAATGTGACATCTGCCTGTTATAGAAAACATCTTAGGAATCATAATCATATAGAAAGGTATGGTGGGGTGTTCGGTAGTGAAGCAGTTCACATCGAGAAGTTCGATTTCATTGTATAGGGTGACATCCTAAATGTCAGACAAACATGTCGATTAGTTACCTGTATCAAAGAATCCTTCAAGTTTTCCCTGACTTTCTTGTTGGACTCCAACTCCTCCAAAAGTTTTCCTGGGTAACGATCATCATCGGCAACCCAGTTTTCTATAAGTTTGCACAGCTCTAGAATGTTATTACAAATATGATTGATCAAACTTGTGTGCTCCTTTCCATCTTTGATAAAATTGACGAAAGGCTTGGAAGACTGTTTGTAAGACTTGAAATTCTCCTTTAGTTCATCGATCTTAAATTCCGTACGTTTCCGATGCTGGACAATCCTGTCTTCGTATTCACTAACGGCTATAGATGGCTCCTCTCCAGCCATTTCTTTAAGACTAATGCAGGAAGTTTGGACATTTTGCTTAAGACATCGCTGCAGCCGTGTTCTGGAATCAAAAACTAGATCATCAAAGACCTGAGCTCGCTTGCTGATGCTGATTAAATCTATGTACTCGTCTGATCCAACGATGTCTTCGCTGACCTCCTTGCGCAGAGTAAGCTGTAGAAAATCATCAGAGTTGAATATAACATCTGCCGGCATTCTCCAAGCTGGCAGAATATCTTCTTCTAAACATTTGGAGCAAGCAAAGAAGTCAAAATTTGACCGAGCTCCTAGATGTTCTTTCTTGAAAGCCTTGACTTTGTTTCTGACGGAATTAACCGTGTCGCGGATGACCTTTCTTTGTGGGCTGCTGATCTTCTGCTGTTTGTTGTTCGGTCGTCTGCTACTGTCGTTACTGCTGGTATTTGTCGGTCTAGTGTTGCGTTTCATGTCGTTATCTTCAGGCATGATTCGACTGTTTTCAGATGACGTTGACATCTGCAGATAAAATATAACAATAATAATAATTATACGATCTATGATGATGATGACCATCGAAGACAATTCTCTCCACTGTAGGTTCCATGACTCCTTTTTGTTGGGAGAGGAGTGGTGGGGGTGGACCCACTGCCTCTCTAACATTGTAGAACCAACAGTCTGCATATAGGTAAGCCTTATCTGTAAAACGGGTGCAGAGGCAACATTCTAGTTCTCGAATAAGACTGAAGTTCAGAAGTGAGCGAACTACGGAACTCTGTGGAGTTTACAGTCTTTGCTGGAGAAGAATAAGATCATCTTCAACCTTTTTCAGATGGCACCTCCTCCAACTTTTTTTGGGGTTTTTGTTTTAGTAATTTCCAAAGCAAACCCCAACCCTCCTCCCCCTCCCCCCCCCCCACCCCATTTTTGTTCCTTAACATACACAATTTGACACCAGAGACGAAAGTCGAAAGGTGTTTTTCCAGCGTGTCGTCACGAAAGCCAGGTTCTTCAAAGGACTTGCTATATGATGATAATCAAGCAAAACATGTCAAACATCACATCACTACGTTTTACTGGCTATTCTACGTGAAAGGCGAAGGACGCTGCTATGAGGAACAATAAGAATAAAAAGAAACTCCACAGGGGAGCATGTACAGCAGGAGTCTGCCAATCATCAGTAGAAGTGATCGGTTTCGGCCCACGAGCTCCTATACATTTTCAGAGAGTGGGCCCACCTGAGTTCATGAAGCTCAGGGTTGGTTTCTCCGGCCGCACGCATTACCGGATGTTATTCGGACAGGGACAAGACGAATCGGTGGCATTGCAAAAGGTACTGTGAGATAAGAAGTCGTTGCGGTAGCATAAGTAAAGCAGTCTGCATACCTGAACATATTGGCAAGCTGATTGGTTTACCGGACACATGTTGGACTTTATTGGCAGGTGGCAGAGGAACACTGGCAGACAATTCGGACACAATGAACTTTAAGGGATAAGACATTCTTTTCCACTAGACACCCGCACCAGCTCACCGAGTAAAGAGCATGTTGAAAACCGCTGATTTAGTTAACTAAAGCTAAAACCAAATAGCGACTGGTGTTTTCTAGCAACCAGCGCTGGCTAGACACCGCTGGCTCATTTCATTGGATTTCCATTTGAATGCAAACCAACGCAGGTTCTTGTAGGGAAGTGGATAGCTGTTTCACAGTCGTTAGAGCGAACCTATTGATTTCTTTATTTGAGCAAGACTTTTATATAACGGTTCCGGATTAAAATGGCAAAAGTAGACTGTGAAAATCAATAATTGATTGCTGAATTGATTTTCATAGACGATTCCTGTCGTTTCAGGTCATTACTGCTTGTTAGTTTTTGACAAACGCGGGAAGTGTTAAAATATTGCCTTTATCTGAAAGTCGTAAAATCGACGTATTTATATTTTATACCGACTCGTTGTTGGTTTTCAAAGTACCCCAAGGGCCATTGAAGAAAGCAAGGAATCTCTCTCTCTCTCTCTCTCTCTCTCTCTCTCTCTCTCTCTCTCTCTCTTTCTCTCTCTCTCTCTCTTTCTCTCTCTCTCTCTCTCTCTCTCTCTCTCTCTCTTAAAACGTTCAGTAATGTAAGTATAATAGATCACATTCCAACGTTTTTAATAAAGGCTTAGATGTTGTTAACATTTTTTATTATAAAATGATATATGAATGAGTAACTGAAGGTGATATTGGGACCCCGATGGGGAAAAAGCAACCTGAAATCCTGACAGGGTTTGGTGGTTGTACAGCAAGCATATCTTTCTGGCAGTGGAAGAGGAGTTATGTGGTTAGTTAACGAACAGTTATGAAGTCACCGTGGTGTAGTGGCTAGGCGATTGCAGCGGATCGGAAGATCGTGGGCTCAGGTCCTGACGGAACAGGTTTTTTTTTCTCAGAAATGATTTTGGGTCGACCCAGTCTTAAATGGAGATTAGGCAAAGTCCTAAGATGTAAAGGCGGCCGGCGTGATTCTGACCATATCGTCCACTACGTGCTTAGTAGTTTATAAAATACTGGTCTAGCCCTATATGCCCAATATGCTCGAAGTTCACTTTAAACGACTAGTTTCCGCTTCCTAGGGGTTATAGCGTTGAGGATCCTACCCCCACCCCTCGCCATGCGATGCTTTCACTCCTTACAAAGGCTGTTGGTCTATGTTCTAATTTACAGCTAGACTGTGATATCTGTGCCTTTGATTTCAGAAATCTTTAATTAGTTACTACTTACGACATGCTTGTTACACGGGCGGTAGGCTAATTTATTTAGTCCCTACCCTCAAAGGAGGAGCTCCAGAGTCCAAACGGTAAACTTGTGAACACAATTCGAATGGCTATTGACACCGTTATACGCTCGTCTGCACTGTGCACACAAGTTGTATGTAGGCACGAAGTGATATATCGCCCTAATTAAACGCATTTCATTTCACAGAGACAATATTTAGAAAATGTCATGACAACGATCTGCGGACATGTCATTGCGAGCCTTTAAGGAAAATACAAATTAGAACAACTTGTATGAGTTATCAAGCCTGACCCATTCTCCAGAAATTGTCGCGCTGACACACACACACAATCACACACAATCACACACACTTACACACACACACGTACACACACACCACAAAACCCTGCAAAAAGATGTACAAATTTACTACCCATGCCATCTTAGAAGCGCAAAATAAATACAGGAAACCGTGATACTGGGTTATACAACCTTGTAGAAGTGAGACAACAACAGAAGAAGAAAAGAAGAAAATACTTCTACTAGTATAGTGGTTCTCAACCTTTCTAATGCGGCGACCCTTTAATACAGTTTCTTATGTTGTGGCAACCCTTTAATACAGTTCCTCATGTTGTGGCGACCCTTTAATACAGTTCCTCATGTTGTGGCGATCCTTTAATACAGTCCCTCATGTTGTGGCGACCCTTTAATACAGTTTCCCCATGTCGTGGCGACCCTTTAATACAGTTTCCCCATGTCGTGGCGACCCTTTAATACAGTTTCCCCATGTCGTGGCGACCCTTTAATACAGTTTCCCCATGTTGTGGCGACCCTTTAATACAGTTTCCCCATGTTGTGGCGACCCTTTAATACAGTTTCCCCATGTCGTGGCGACCCTTTAATACAGTTCCCTCATATCGTGGCGACCCTTTAATACAGTTCCCTCATATCGTGGCGACCCTTTAATACAGTTCCCTCATGTCGTGGCGACCCTTTAATACAGTCCCTCATGTGGTGGTGACCCTTTAATACAGTCCCTCATGTCGTGGTGACCCTTTAATAAGTCCCTCATGTCGTGGTGACCCTTTAATACAGTCCCTCATGTTGTGGCGACCCTTTAATACAGTTTCCTCATGTTGTGGCGACCCTTTAATACAGTTTCTCATGTTGTGGCGATCCTTTAATAAGTCCCTCATGTTGTGGCGACCCTTTAATACAGTCCCTCATGTCGTGGTGACCCTTTAATAAGTCCCTCATGTTGTGGCGACCCTTTAATACAGTCCCTCATGTCGTGGTGACCCTTTAATAAGTCCCTCATGTTGTGGCGACCCTTTAATAAGTCCCTCATGTTGTGGCGACCCTTTAATAAGTCCCTCATGTCGTGGTGACCCTTTAATAAGTCCCTCATGTCGTGGTGACCCTTTAATACAGTCCCTCATGTCGTGGTGACCCTTTAATAAGTCCCTCATGTTGTGGCGACCCTTTAATACAGTCCCTCATGTCGTGGTGACCCTTTAATACAGTCCCTCATGTCGTGGTGACCCTTTAATACAGTCCCTCATGTCGTGGCGACCCTTTAATACAGTCCCTCATGTCGTGGTGACCCTTTAATACAGTCCCTCATGTCGTGGTGACCCTTTAATAAGTCCCTCATGTCGTGGTGACCCTTTAATACAGTCCCTCATGTCGTGGTGACCCTTTAATACAGTCCCTCATGTCGTGGCGACCCTTTAATACAGTCCCTCATGTCGTGGTGACCCTTTAATAAGTCCCTCATGTCGTGGCGACCCTTTAATACAGTTTCCTCATGTTGTGGCGACCCTTTAATACAGTTTCCTCATGTTGTGGTGACCCTTTAATACAGTCCCTCATGTCGTGGCGACCCTTTAATACAGTCCCTCATGTCGTGGTGACCCTTTAATACAGTCCCTCATGTCGTGGTGACCCTTTAATACAGTCCCTCATGTCGTGGTGACCCTTTAATACAGTCCCTCATGTCGTGGTGACCCTTTAATACAGTCCCTCATGTCGTGGTGACCCTTTAATACAGTTTCCTCATGTCGTGGTGACCCTTTAATACAGTCCCTCATGTCGTGGCGACCCTTTAATACAGTCCCTCGTGTCGTGGTGACCCTTTAATACAGTCCCTCATGTTGTGGCGACCCTTTAATACAGTCCCTCATGTTGTGGCGACCCTTTAATACAGTTTCATATCTTGTGGCGACCGCCAACCATACAATTATTTTTGTCACTACTTCATAACTTCAATGAATATGTGTTTTGCGATGATCTTTGGCGACCCGTGTAAAAGGGTCGTTGGACTAAAAAAAAAGGGGGGGGGGGATTGCGACGAACAGGTTGGGAGCCGCTGTACCAGTATGTTGGAAATAATTCAATATGTATATGTAAACACTTTTGTAGAGAATATCTATGCATGGTTAACAGGTGGCTACGTAACCTGCTTATAAAATTAATGCACAGGGGCGGGGGGACCTCAAAAGCCCTGAGCTCCCAGGTTCTGGCGCCTATAGACAGTAGGCTACTCAGTTACCGTCTAATGCACAAACACAATTGGCGGTGTCTGCAAATTTGCTCGTGCTGTATACGCATCCGAAAAGTGACTCTTTGAACCACAGTGTCACAAACTGTCAGGCTGCCATCATATAGAGCAACAAATTTAAAAAATTAAAAAAGACACACCGTGTTAGCCTACCGTTTGGTAAATAGAGCTGGGTATGACATGGTGCTGTGAATCATGGTCAACTCCACACAAAATAGCTAAACAATTTCTTGAAGACTCGGAGCTGTGCGTTTTACCGAAAATTCCTTACAAATTAAAAAAAAAATAACATGGATGTTTTGGAAGGGGCAAGGACTCAAAGACAACTTATTACAAACTTCAGAAAGAGATAGTCATCATTTGTGATCATGTTA